GAAACCATGTTTAGACAGGGCTCTGGCCACAAGGAGTCGAAAGTGGGTGCCTTACAAACGGCTCAGTTCGTATCAGGTATGGTGTAGCTACAAGGCAGCAAGAAATCTAGCAGAAGCTATGTAGCGAAGGGCTAGGTAAGACTATGAGCATGGGATTGCGATAAATACAAAACAGAACCCAAAGAGGTTCTATGCTTATGTCCAATCTAAAACGATATCAAGAGAGGGGATTGGAACGTTGAAGAGCACTGATGGATGTCCTGCCCCAAGCGAGAAAGACTAGGTTAANGGTTAATACCCTTCTCGCTTTCTTTAAGGGGGTGTACAGACAGCCAGCACCGTTGGTTATGGCAGATTATCCCAGTGCGACATCACAACTGACTGAAATAACTGTGACACCAGACGAAGTCCTTCACGAGTTAGCTACCCTGAATATGTTCAAGGGAGCGTGACCGGATAGCATCCATCCCGCTATTGTTAAACCTCTAGCGGAGATGCTTCAAGAGCCTTTGTCAAAGCTGTTTCAAGCACCTCTAGATAAGGGCAAAATACCGGGAGATTGGAAAAGAGCGACGGTAGTTGCTCTGCATAAATCTGGGTCAAAGCAAAAGGCCGAAACTACAGACCATTAAGTCTGACGTCGGTCCTTTACAAATGCCTAGAAAGGATTGTACGCAAGCATATGGCTGCGTACCTCGTAGGACTTGAGCTACTAACGCCAGATTAACATGGCCTTATTAAGAGGAAGTCTTGTCTATTAAATCTGCTTACCTTACTCGGTGAGGTCACACGACACTTAGACGAGGGATAGCATGTCGAGGTCTGTTACCTGGACTTTAGCAAAGCCTTTGACTCGGTAAGTCATCAGGGGTTAGACCATAAAATGTAACTATTCGGAATAGGGGGAAAGTTAGAAAGTGGGTGTACTGCTTTATAACTAACCGCATCCTTCAGCTCAAGGTTGGTATGCAATTATCGGTGCCGGTTAACATGACTAGCGGTGTCCCCCAGGGTTCTGTGCTAGGCCCACTGCTAGCTAAGTATCGGCTTCTAACAGCAGAAGCTGAACTGGACCTGGGAGTAATTATACCCTACGACTTCAAACCCTCTCAATAATGTCAGAGGACAGCCAGCGTAGCTCGAAGGGAACTCTTTCGTGTACATTTCACGATTACGTGTAGCAAACCCGAGGTTCTCGCCCCTCTATAAAAGGCCATATTGAGACCTCACCTGGAATATTGTGTTCACCCTTGGGCACTCTACTTTCGGAAAGACATCGAATGTCCAGAAAGAGTGCAACGCCTGACTACAAGTATGATGGTAGGACAAAGAGATAAGAGCTACCAGCAGAGAATCAAGGACCTTAATCTGTTCTCTCTGGCAAGAAGGAGAGTCAGGGAGGATCTCATAGAACTCTTTAGGATCATGAACTGTCTCTCCGGACTTAAGTTTGAGGGCATGTTGCGGTTCATCCTCTTAAGTGGCACTAGGGGACATAGTTTAAGGTTGCAACGTAGTCATGTAAGGTTGGAAGTTCGTGCCAAGTTCTTTACAAGTTGGGTAATACCTTATTGGAATAGTTTACCCGAAAATGTGGTAAGTTGCTCGAACGTCAGAGCCTTCAAGAGGGCATTAGATGACTGTTGGGCTTCTACCTTCCCTGAAACTGATGGTAGGTACCTATTAGTCCCGAGCGTCATCGCCTGGGACGTGATACTGCACCTCATATTCTGCATTTCATACAAACCTATTGACTCGCAGTGTTGAAAGCCACGAGATCAGCCAACAACACATCAATCTGGACGCCAGATTGGCCCGGGTCACACATCGTCCTGTGCAAACTGAACTGAACTTGTTTCTGAAAGGTCAGGTCAGGTCAGGTCACAGGACTTCAGCCTTCTGCCAGTGGACTTCTAGGTTCTTGCACTTGTGAGCTGGTGATTCCCACTGTGCTGCGACTGATAGGTAGTTCCACAATTGTGTGATGGGTGTTGTCCTTACAAGAGAAGAGATGAAGAGCAGGATCGCCCTCGGAGTAACAGCAGTCTCAATCATTTGTCCTGCGCCGCACCTCAGTGGACTGCTACTGCTGACATGAGAGCTTCCCGAGGGCTGATGCCGGAAACATTTTTGTGTCAATTGTGCGTGAGGTGCGTGATGCAATGGCGGGATGGCAGAAATAGGCAAAGAGTACAAAAGCAGGACGTGGGTAGTGATTGAGATGTAGCGTAGTCGACTGTATGGTAAATACCGGACAATAGTAGATGTTTGCCGGACACCATTTTTTATCTACAATCTGAATGAACGTTCACATTTTTACTTCAGTACCAACGCCATGTGACGTTTGTTTTATACGATTGAAAACTGCTGTATCCTTCCGCNAGGGGAACTTTCACCTTTTTGCTTTCGCTCCGTTTTGCTCGCTATCACGCTCGTTGATTCGCTCACCTTCGTGCTTTAACGCAAACGCTCGTTAGCCGGTACCGGTACTTCCTCCGTGCCACGGTTCCTCAATAAACGTCCACAACCACAAGTCCTCTGGTTTAACCAGCTGTAACTTGGTTGTGCTGCGAGCTCGGGATTCCCGTTCTGAAGCGCGTCACGCTCGGTCGTAGGCGACGTTTCTTCCATTTGTGAGCCCGCCAGGAACATGTTTTCCCTCGGCAAGTCTGTGGTTTTGTGTCTCGATTGCATAATATACATTTACATCGAATATATTATCGCAACTTTATGTAATCCGACAGTAACGCACTGTGATGATCTAGACCTACACGATGGCGCCTGCTCTGGAGCGGTGCGTTACAGTTTCAGGACATTGGCGATAAATCAAGTTTGAATGCTGACGTCAATAGCGCGTGCACAGCTTCTGAATACACATCACTGGCGGATGGTGTCAGCCAATCCAAGACAATGCAGACAGAAGCAAGATTATGCAAGCAGTACTGCAATCCAATTGGTGGAAGCCCAGGTAGCCAATAATCTCCCTTTGTACATTTTATTTAATCATCTTTATTTCTTCCAATAAACGAACTGCTTACTGCCTGTCCTGTGGCCTTTTCCTCGCGTCTCGTTCTCGTGGGACATTGGGAATTCGTGCCATTGTGGTCCAGTGTCTCTGCGATCCAGTCCGTGATAGCTGATTATCCATTCGAATCCTGTAATTCATATTGCGTGGTTGGTATTCGGAATTCCGTGCATATTATTACTACTACAATCATTACAAATTGGCGTCGCGTGATGGAGCTCCCAACGATTGAGCAAATGAGCCTGCAAGCAAGTCCATCCGAGATCGAGGAATGGGTCGAACGGTTCGAGCTATGGTGCAGCATTCGCAGAGATGGTACACAGAATCAGTCAACCCTTTTTCTTATTGTTTTCGGCCGTGACCCGTACTACCTGTTGAGAAACCTGGCGTTCCCTGATGCTCCAGCCACACTACAATACGAGTCCCTGAAATCGCTGCTGCCCAACCACCTGCTGCCCACTGAATTCCAAGCACATGAAAGGGTTAAATTCAACTCCATGATTTGTGCCGATCATGCTTCCTGCCGTGAATTCATCCAGCAGCTGAACAAACGAGAATTACGCTGCAACTATTATGATCGCCTGGAAGTACAAATGTGTGACCGCTTGGCGGCAGGCATCAATAATCTGACTCTTCAACGAAAGTTGCTGGAGAAGAAAGATTTAACTTTTGCCGATGATCGCAAGATCTGTGAGCAACCCTAAGACCTGATGAAAGCCACTTTCAGCAAATCAGTCACATTATTCCAACGGCAGAAGACCCGACCAACCCGATCTCCATTGCCCAAGCGTGTACCGAAGCCGCAACACGACTCTTCAGGCAACGAGGAACGTATCAATCCCTGTTTGTCATATTGAGCTTACCATATGCGCTCCAATTGCCGCTTCCGAAATTCCAAGTGTCATGCATGCGGGAAAACTGGTCACATTCGGAGAGTGTGCAAACAGCCCCGTTGCAATCTTACACAACCGACTGCTGCGAATGACACAAATCTGGTGCTCTCTCTACGATCCGAAAGCCAAAGCACCCAATTCCTAAAGACAGATGTGACATTTCAGTCCGGCACAACGCACAAATTCATTGTTGATACGGGAAGCACGGAATCTATCATTTATATTTCTATACTGCAATCAATCTGCCCCAAGCCGAAATTCATCCGACATCCATGCAAATCCTTGGGGTAACTGGACACACATTGCAATTGTTTGGTGAGGTTTCATTGATGGTACATGCCAAAGAACATCGCCTTGTCCCCATCCGCTTCCTAATTGATAAAAATAGTCTATCCGTACTTGGCTTAACCACCATTCGTGAATTGAACCATTGTGTGTTGCTCCATACAAGCTCTATGTCCAACTTGCACACCCATCTACAGCACCTGGTCGTGAAATGTTCCAATAACATGGGAGGTATGAAAGTACAGCCGGCCAAACTAGAAGTTGATGGTGAACCCATTTTCCTGAAGCGACCTATAATTCCCTGCGGCCAACGTGATGGNTGAGAAAATGGAGCGCGATGGCATAATCACACGAGTCACATCCAGTACGTGGGCAACGCCAATCGTGATCGCAATCAAGAGTGACGCAAAACACCACGAATTTGTGTTGATTATCGCTTAGGACTGAACCCGCGGCTGCGAAAGTGTGCGGCTACCACCATGAAACCGGAGGATTCCGTGAAAGCATTGCACGGTAGCACATGCTTCTCGAAGATTGACTTGGCCGATGCATACCTCCAGATTCCACTCGCATCAACCTGCTGGCATTTCACCACTACCAACACACCATGGGGACTGTATCAAAACAACTTCCTACCGTTT